GGATACAGCACACTGATGGGTTTTGGCTTTTTATCCAATTTGCCAGTCTGTGTCTTTTGATTGGGGCATTTAGTCCATTGACATTTAGGGATAGTATTGTTATGTGTGAATTTGATGCTGTCATTTTGATGCTACCTGGCTGTTTTGTTGGTTAGTTGATGCAGATTCTTGATTGTGTTGCTGCTTTTTTACCATTTGGTGTGTTTTTGGAGTGGCTGGTACTGGTTGTTCCTTTATATGTGTAGAGCCTCTTTCAGGAGTTCTTGTAGAGCAGGTTTGGTGGTGATGAAATCTCTGAGTGCTTGCTTGTTCACAAAGGATTTTATTTTTCCTTCACTTATGAAGCTGAGTTTGGCTGGATAGGAGATTCTGGGTTGAAAGTTCTTTTCTTTAAGGATGTTGAATATTGGCCCCCAGTCTCTTCTGGCTTGTAGGGTTTCTGCTGAGAGATCTGCTGTGAGTCTAACGGGCTTCCCTTTGTGGGTAACCCGCCCTTTCTCTCTGGCTGCCCTTAGCATTTTCTCTTTCATTTCAACCCTGGTGAATCTGACGATTATGTGCCTTGGGGTTGCTCTTCTTGAGGAATATCTCTGTGGTGTTCTCTGTATTTCCTGGATTTGAATATTGGTCTGCCTTGCTAGGTTGGGGAAGTTTTCCTGGATAATATCCTGAAGAGTATTTTCCAGCTTGGATTCATTCTCTTCATCACATTCAGGTACACCTATCAGACGTAGATTAGGTCTTTTCACATAGTCCCACATTTCTTGAAGATTTTGTTCATTCCTTTTTGCGCTTTTTTCTCTGTTCTTGCCTTCTCTTTTTATTTCATTGAGTTGGTCTTCGACCTCTGATATCCTTTCTTCTGCTTGGTCAATTCGGCTGTTGAAGCTTGTGCATGCTTCACGAAGTTCTCGTGTTGCGTTTTTCAGCTCCATCAATTCACTTATTCTCCTCTCTATGCTGTCCATTCTCGTCAGCAGTTCGTCCAATCTTTTTTCAAGGTTCCTATTTTCTTTGCGATGGGTTAGAACATGTTCTTTTAGCTCATTGTAGTTTCTTACTACCCATCTTCTGAAGTCTGATTCTGTCATTTCATCACCCTCCTTCTCCATCCGGTCTGGTTCCCTTGCTGGTGAGGAGTTGTGATCACTTTTAGGAGGAGAGGTGTTCTGGTTTCGGGAGTTTTCATCCTTTTTACGCTGGTTTCTACCCATTTTTGTGGGTTTATCCACCTGTTGTCTGTCTCTGTCCCAGGGAGTTGGAGCTTTATGAGTTTCCGTTGCACTACTGCCTTTTTTGATTTTTTTTTTTTTTCAGGTCGGACCCGCCCAGCTAGCAGCACGCCTAGCCTCTGCCTGCCCGCAGGGGCTTTGCTGAGCTGCTGTGGGCTCCGCCCAGCTGCCCTGAGCTCTTCCCTGTAGTCCTTTTTATATGGGCGTAGTTAGAACTGTCTGGGCAATGGTGGCCCCGCCTCTGTTATGGCGGACTCTCTCTGTTGTGGCAGGTTGCCTCGGCAACGGCGGGTTGCCTCGGCAACGGCAGCCTGCCTCAGTAGTGGTGGAGAGTCTCAGTAATGGCGGAAGCCCCTCCCCCACGGAGCCGGACCGTCCGGGTTCAGCTGTGCTTGGTTTGAAGGGCTCAACCCAGAGGGTTTCCAATTACTGTTTTTGTTTTCGTTGTTGTTGGGGGTGGAGGGGTGGGACCAACCGAGCCTGATCACCTGGCTCCCTGACTCAGAGTCTTTTCTTTTAAGTTGAACGACCCCGCGTTCCGGTCGCTTGTTGAAAAGGCGCCGGGATCTCCCGTGCTGCGACTCACGGAGTCGGCTCGAACCGCGGCGCCGGCTCCTGGCGGATTTTTTGCCTAGGAATCTCCTGGCCTGGCTCGCTATTTCAGATGAATGGGCTATTCTGCCGTCTCAAGGCTCTGCTCGCCAGCTAAGAGGGCTCCCAGACCAGTGGCTTTTGTACGGAGAACCGCAGCAACAGGGAGTGGTCACAGCAGCCGCGCGGGCGGAATCAGCCCGGCGGGGGCCCAAACAGCCGCACCGGCTGGGATTGCGACGCTGGCGACCCCTCTGCCTGGGTATCTCCTGGTCTGTGGGCAATAACAGTTCGTCTGGAAATGCGGCGTCCACTCACCCTCTGCACTTTCACTGGGAGCTGAAGTCCTGAGCTGTTCTTAAGCGGCCATCTTGAAAGTCCCCCCCACAAGTCCTTTTAAGATATCTGATTTATAAATATTTTCTTCTACACTTTCAAAGAGCGGACACTCTTAAGTGAAGTTTAATTTATTTACTTATTCTTTCATTTATTGTGTTTTTGGTTTTGTATCTAAGAAATCACTGCCTAACTAAAGATCACAATACTTTTTTTCTGTTTTTGAAAGAAATTATATAGTTTCTATTTTGTATTTCTGTGATCCATTTTGAGGACTTTTTAATATAAGGTGTGAGATATGGATAAATTTTGTTTTTATCTATTTGCATGTGTCTGTTCAGTCATTCAAGTACTAGAAAAACTATATATATATATTTTTTGTCACCAAATTGCCTTTTTACCTTTATCAGAAAAGAATCCATCATATATGTGTAGGACTATCTTTGGATCCTTTCCTTTAAAAAAACAGTAAAAATTAAAATTAAAGAATTACATGAAGAACATTTGAATATTTTCTTGTAAAAATTGTAAAAATATAGAAATATGTGACAATGAGTGTAAATGCTTATATAGGCCTTACTGTGCCAAGCATCACTCTAAATGCTTTAAATAGATTAGCACATTTACTCTTTACAACAATTCATGAGATAGGTACTGTTATTTTTTCCATGTTACAGATGGGAACCATGAAGGCAGAAAGAGGGCATGTAACTTGCATGTGATCATATAGCTAGTAATTGTTGGAGCTGTGTTTTTAATCACCTCATCATTTTCCTTCACCTCTACCCCAATCCAATGCCTTACCTCAAATATGACAACTGTTCTTTATTTCATTTGAAACTTAATTTACCTACATAAAACACAGGCAAAAAACATTTTGTTTGTATTCATGTCTATTCTTTTATAACTTCGAAGTGAATGTAATCTGAAGTTTTGGTGTAGAGATTTTACTAAATGTCACTTAGTATAATTTAATTGGTAGGACTAGTCTGTTGTTCTATAATTCTTGATGAGAGTTCGACTAGTTTTCCTATTGACTGCTGAGACAATGTATTGAAGTTTCCAAGTGTATTTGTGGATTTTTAAATTTCTCTTTTAAATTCTATAAGATTTTCTTTCATGTATTTTGAAACCATATTGTTAGGTGCACACATATTTATATTTATTAAGTTATTTTTCATAGTTGACCGCTTCATAATTAATGTCCCCCTTTATCCTTTTGCTAAAATTTACTTAGTCTCATATTGACAAGCTGTTTCTGCTTTTGTATGGTTAGGGTTCATGTAGTATCTCTTTTACCAGGTTTATGCCAACCTAATGCATCTTTTATTTTTTAACCTATTTATTCTTATATATTTAAAATGAGTTTCTTGTACACAGTATATAGTTTGGTCTTGACTTTTTATCCAATCTGCTCTTAACTTTTAATTCATGGTTTACAAGGTTTACATTTAATGTAACTATATGATTAGATTAAAAACCATCACATTGTTAGCTCTTTTATTTTTTAAATCTATTATTTTGTTTTTGCTTCTTTGCATTCTGTTCTTGAGTATTTCATTTTAGCTCCATTATGAATTGTTGATTTTTCTGTTAAAGAATTATTTTAGTCATTGCTCTAGGTTACAAAATATGCATCTTTAATCAGAGTCTATATTTAAATAATATTAGACTACTAGACATGTAGCATAAGGATTTAACAACAGTGTTTCCCAATTTCTTCCTTCCATCATTTGTACTGTTGTTGTCTTACATACGTTTTATTTTTACCCATGCTATAAACACAATGCATTTTTAATATTTTTGCCTTAGTTGTCTTTTAAAGCAATTTTAAATAAGGAAATGAATTTTATATTACCTTCATTTATTCTATTTCTAGAACTCTTTATTACTTTATGTATATGTCATACCTTACCAAGGTGTTAAAAATAAATGTTAATATTTTTAACTATTTGCATTTAAAACACACCAGTCTTTGACTTCTCTTGGCTTTGTTAAAAATTTGTTGTCTTCGGATAGCTGGGAATGTTTGATTTTTATACTTCTTTGTGTTCACTTGGAATTTCAGGACCATAGGACTGACAATGTTATAAGAGGTCCTTTAGCCTATTCTTCAGTCTAACAAGTTTACTGTTCTTAAGATGTTTCTAGAAGTTCTCTTTCTGAAGTTGAAACGCAAGCCTATTTGGTCTATACTTCTCTTTCATCTCTCTTTCTTTTATTCTTTTACTTCTCATGTGATGTTCGAAGCATTTGGACCATGTTGTCCTGCTTTTTAATGCTTTCTTATTAATAATCCTGCACATATATAAAGATAGTTATCAAGTGTCTTCTTACTGTCTTCTTTACAGATTACCATCTCTTCTACACATTAAAAAGTAGGAGGCAGTGTCCCAGCTCCCTTACCAAATTGTGGAAGTGCAAACTATATAGAGTGCTGAACTTAAACCCTCTCCCTAAAGTCATATGATTTTATTCCAGCCATGTACCTTTAGGAGAGCTCTGGGATTCTGAAATTGGGTGGGTTTCCTTCAAAAACAACGTTCACCTGAGGATGTGATTTATTCCAGAGCCTTCTCAGTGCACTAGCCCTAAGTACATTATTTTTACAGGGATAAGGCAGAAAGAAAAGAGCAAGCTAGAAAACCTAGACTTTTCTGAGCAAACTATATTCAGTTGTGATTTAAAAAGAAGTACTTTTGACAGCCAGGGCTGGTCCTATCATAGAATTTATAAGCACTTGTCAGTTACTTGGGTTATTGCAAGAGACAGTTATTTTCAAGCTTTCTCCTTTAATTCATGTCCAAAGTATAACATTTTCTTTTTGTTTTTTTTCCCCAGGGGTGCTACATCCATTGTGTACAGATGCAAACAGAAGGGGACCCAAAAGCCTTATGCTCTCAAAGTGTTAAAAAAAACAGTAAGTTTATTTTATTGTATAATGGCATTTCTAAGGAGCCTGTGGCCTGGAGAAGGCAGGAACCTGACTTGAAGAACAAAGGGGCCAGAGAGCTTCTATGTGCAAGTGACTTGTTTGACTCTTAATTATGGGAGTTGCAACCCAAATAGGTTGTTGCCTGGTGGAAATTGCATGAGACTTTGAAAGCAACTGGATCTCTAATTGGATGTGGTTGTGGGGAGAAGTTTGGCAAGAAAAACATTTAGAGTTGGCAGGTAGACCTTATTTTGTATATCAGCCATGCTCTTGGAAATACATATATGTGTATGTATGTGTGTGTGTGTGTGTGTGTGTGTATGTCTGCATATATATACACACACATACACATAAAATAATTTCAATATTTAAATTTTTAAACCACATTTTAATATGTTAGAAAAGCTTGCTATTGAAAAGAATTTTAAATAAAACACAAATGTATTTGTTAAAGGAGTCATCAGCTTCTAATTTGCCTTAATTTTCAAATGTTACACTTGCTTCAGTAGAGTATAATTGAACAAATGCTAATGTTTCCGGGACTGAACCTGCTCATCTAGAAGACTGTACTGAGAAAAAAGAAAGGTTTTTGTTTGGGGGTTGTCCCTTTTGCCCTACACTTATAGGTAAGCTGAGGAGGCAAAAGTGACTTAGGCTCATCTCTAATGAGTAAGAAACAAAGCAGATGGGAGTTCAAAATGTAATTGCCAGCACCTGTGTAATACTATCTATACCCCAGAGTATTTTTCCATTGTAATGCCCTACTTGGATTTTGTGTTCTTAGACAGTCTCTACTCATAAAACCACAAAAAGACAAGATACTCTTTTATAGCACATTCCTTTTCAAATTTCTTATGAACAAATATATGATATATATATATGTCTGTATCTGAAAAGCAAGTTGTAAAGTATGTTGAGAAGTATCATAAATTTTGAAGTCAAATACATTTTTTAGGCCAAGGAATTTTTTTTTTCCTAAAGGCAGCTTAAAATTAACAGCTGTTTATTTATTGTCTGGCACAGGAAAATTTTAGAATCTCTTGTAATGAAGAGCATAATGGTACAAAGTTTTCAGCCAAATAGAAATAGAATGGCATTTTAAACAATCTTTTAGACTGTTTAAAGTAATAGCAAAATAACAAAGACAGTTTAATGAAAGTTGGTAATAATTTAAATGGCAATTGCTACTAATGAATTCTATATTCTGAATTTTCTGTTTGGTGTAGGCAATGATTTAAGTTATTCCAGAATGTAGAGGAATCTTTTGATTGATAAGATTTTGAATTTTCCTTTTTTTTTTTTTTTTTTGAGACGGAGTTTCACCCTTGTTACCCAGGCTGGAGGGCAATGGCGCGATCTCGGCTCACCTCAACCTCCGCCTCCTGGGTTCAGGCAATTCTCCTGCCTCAGCCTCTGGAGTAGCTGGGATTACAGGCACGCGCCACCATGCTCAGCTAATTTTTTGCACCATTAGTAGAGACGGGGTTTCACCATGTTGACCAGGATGGTCTCGATCTCTTGACCTCGTGATCCACCCGCCTCGGCCTCCCAAAGTGCTGGGATTACAGGCTTGAGCCACCACGCCTGGCCTGAATTTTCACTTAATTTAATTTCTTATAGTCATAAAATTTATCTGAGCTAAGGATTATTAAAACTTTGATGAAATAGAATTTCGTGTTAAATATATTTTTTATGAAAATAAAATGGCATGTTTTATCAGCAGTCACACGCAAGATGTTGTATGACTTGGTTTTACCATTTCTTGTTGGTTGAAACGTTGTCAGTGGAAGCTCTTAAGTTTAATTAGATCCCATTTTTCTATTTTGCCTTTTGTTGACATTGCTTTTGGTGTTTTAGTCATGAAGTCCTTGCCTATGCCTATGTCCTGAATGGTATTGCCTGTTTTCTTCCAGGATTTGTATGGTGTTAGGTCTTATGTTTAAATCTTTAATCCATCTGGAGTTAATTTTTGTATAAGATATAAGGAATGGGTCCAGTTTCAGCTTTCTGCATTTGTTAGCTAGTTTTTCCAAACACCATTTATTAAACAGGGAATCCTTTTATCATTGCTTGATTTTGTCAGGTTTGTCAAAGATCAGATGGTTATTGGTGTGTGGCATTATTTCCGAGGCCTCTGTTCTGTTCCACTTGTCTATATCTCTGTTTTGGTACCAGTACCATGCTGTTTTGATTACTGTAGCCTTATAGTGTAGTTTGAAATCACGTAGGTGATGCCTCCAGCTTTGTTCTTTTTGCTTAGGATTGTCTTGGCTATGGAGACTCTTTTTTGGTTCTATATGAAGTTTAAGGTGGTTTTTTTCCAGTTCTGTGAAGAAGGACAATGGTAGCTTGATGAGGATAGCACTGAATCTATAAATGACTTTGAGCAGAATGGCCATTTTCATTATATTTATTCTTCCTAACCATGAGCATGGAATGTTTTTCTGTTTTTGTCCTCTTTTATTTCGTTGAGCAGTGGTTTGTAGTTCTCCTTGAAGAGGTCCTTCATGTCCTTTGTTAGTTGTATTTCTAGATATTTTATTCTCTTTGTAGCAGTTGTGATTGGGAGTTCACTCATCATTTGGCTCTCTGTTTGTCTGTTATTGATGTGTAGGATTGCTTGTGATTTTTGCACATTGATTTTGTATCCTGAGACTTTGTTGAAGTTGCTTATCATCTTAAGGAGATTTTGGGCTGAGACGACGGGGTCTTCTAAATATACGATATATCATCTGCAAATAGAGACAATTTGAGTTCCTCTTTTCCTAGTTGAGTACTCCTTATTTTCTTGCCTGATTGCTCTGACTAGAACTTCCAATACTATGTTGAATAAGAATAGTGAGAGAGGGCACCCTTGCCTAGTGCCAGTTTTCAAAGGGAATGCTTCCAGTTTTTGCACATTCAGTATGATATTGGCTGTGGGTTTGTCATAGATAGCTTTTATTATTTTGAGATATGTTCCACTGGTACCTAGTTTATTGAGAGTTTTTAGCATAAAGGGCTGTTGAATTTTGTCAAAGACCTTCTCTGCATCTATTGAGATAATCATGTGGTTTTTGTCTTTGGATTACGTTGATAGACGTTGATTACGTTGATGGATTACGTTGATAGATTTGCATATATCGAACCCGCCTTGCATCCCTGGGATGAGGCTCACTTGATCGTGATGGATATCTTTTTGATGTGCTGTTGCAATTTGTTTACTGGTATTTTACTGAAGATTTTGTGTTGATGTTCATCATGGATATTGGCCTGAAATTTTCTCTATTAGTTGTGTCTCTGCCAGGTTTTGGTATCAGGATGATGTTGATCTCATAAAATGAATTAGGGAGTATTCCCTCTTTTTATGTTGTTTGTAATAGTTTCAGAAGGAATGGTTCCAGCTCCTCTTTGTACATCTGGTAGAATTCAGCTGTGAACCCATCTGGACCTGGACTTTTTTGGTTAGTAGGCTATTACTGCTGCCTGAACTTCAGACCCTGTTATTGGTCTATTCAAGAATTCACCTTCTTCCTGGTTTAGTCTTGGGAGAGTGTAAGTGTCCAGGAATTTATCCACTTCATCTAGATTTACTGGTTTATGTGCTTAGAGTGAAACCACAGGATGGGAAAAAGTTTTTGCAAACTACCCATCTGACAAAGGGCTAATATCCAGAATCTACAAAGAACTCAAACAAATTTACAAGAAAAAAAAACCCAATCAGAAACTGGGCAAAGGATATGAACAGGCACTTTTCAAAATAAGACATTTATGTGCTGTTGTTGGCCAACAAACATATGAAAAAAAGCTCCTCATCACTGATCATTAGAGAAATGCAATTCAAAACCACATTGGGATACCATCTCACACCAGTTAGAACGGCAGTCATTAAAAAATCTGGAGACAACAGATGCTGGATAGGATGTGGAGTAATAGGAATGCTTTTACAGTGTTGGTGGGAGTGTGAATTAGTGCAACCATTTTGTAAGACAGTGTGGTGATTCCTCAAGGAGCTAGAAATAGGAATACCATTTGACCCTACAATCCCATTACTGCTTATATATCCAAAGGATTCTAAATCAGTCTATTATAAAGATGCATGCACACATATACATTGTGGCACTGTTTACAATAGCAAAGACTTGGAACCAACCCAAATGCCCATCAATGATAGACTTGGTAAAAAAATGTGGCATATATACACCATGGAATACTACACAGCCATAAAAAAAGATGAGTTCATGTCCTTTGCGTGGACCTGGATGAATCTGGAAACCACTGTCAGCAAACTGACACAAGAACAGAAAACCAAACACTGCATGTTCTCACTCGTAAGTGAGTATTAAACAATGAGAACACATGGACACAGGGAGGAAAACATCACACACTGGGGTCTGTTGCGGGGTGAGGGGCTAGGGGAGCCATAACAGGGTGTGGGGATGCTGGAGAGGGATAACATTAGGAGAAATACCTAGTGTAGGTAAAGATGGAGGCAGCAAACCACCATAGCATGTGTATACCTATGTAACAATCCTGCAAGATCTGCACATGTACCCCGGAACTTAAAGTATAATTTAAAAAAAATTGTCAGTAAAATATGTGAAAGGCTATTTGTTTTTCATAGTTGAGGAAACTTTGAGATGGAAGAGGCATATGAAACTCTAAGAAATAAATGCTAGAAATCACATGTGAATGCTCAAGAATTTCCGAGGGCAACAGGCTGGTTTAAAAATCACTGGCTTATGTCAAAAGTTTTTGATAAATTGGAATAAGAGGTCAGTGGAGCCATTTGGTGGGTTCATGATGTATATTTGTTGGGTAAGCACTGCTCTTGTTTGTCCTCACTGTCTTCTCGCTGTTGTGAAAACATCTCCCTCAGAAGACAGGCAGGAAGAGCCTGTGAATGGGAACAAAGTGTCAGATGGAGCTGCAGAGTGGTGCTATAAGGCAGATGTTGTCAAACACAGTTACTGCTGTGCCAAATGGAATGAGAGGAAATGCCCTGA